GCAGGGCCGCGCTGCCGCCCCTCAGCGCGGCCTCCGCCACAGCGCGGCCAACGCCGCCCGGGCCCGCCCCGCCGCGCTCCCGCCCGCCATGAGCTGCCGGCAGCCGCTGCCGAGCGAGCGCGGAGCCAGACAGAGGTGGGGGAGGGCAGCGCGGCCTGAGGGGGGAGGAGGGGCCGCGCTGAGGGGAAGGGATCGGCCGGGCTGTGAGGGGAAGGGATCGGCCGGGCTGTGAGGGGAAGGGATCGGCCGGGCTGAGGGGAGGGGATCGGCCGGGCCGGGCTGAGGGGAAGGGGCTCGGCCGCTCGGAGCGGCCCCGGGGGCGCCGCGCCGGGCGGGGCTGGGGTTGGGAAGGGGAGAGCGGCCCCCGGGCTCGGGGAGGGTTAAATGGGTCGGCAGGGTTTGAGGTAGCGGGAGGGGAGGCTGGGAGGGCGAAGGCACGGGGGCATGCGGGGGATTCGGGGGGGAAGCAGCGGGGTCGTGGAGCGGGTGGGAGCTGGGAGGCCGTGGGGCATCGTGGGGTCGGGAATGGCGTGGAAGGGACCCCAGGCCCGTCCTTGCTGCCCCAGCACGGCACGGACTCCTTCCCCAGCCCAGGGTGCCCCGTGCGAGCTGCCGGGGCCGCTGCAGGCCCTGGGGAAGGGAGGGCTCTCCCTTGCCCGGAGTGTTCCCGGACAGACGGACAGCGCTGGCAGCCTGCCGTGCCTGGGCTGGGGAGGGGGAGGCGGCTCGGGCTGTGGGCGTGGGCCAGAGCCCGGCAGCTGAGGCTGCTGCACGGAAAGGAGCCGGGTATAAATACCTCCCTCGAGCCTGCTTTGACTCATTCGAGCACGGGTTAATTTTAGGCACACCAAAACAGCTCCGTGCCGTGGTTTTTTGGAGGCTGCTGAGCTCCTGGGTGACTCGTGGTGTTTGTGGGGTGGGGAAGAAGCGTTTGGTGTTTGTGTGGGAATGCTGGGGCGCTGCTGGGGAGCAGCTGCTGTGTTGGTGGCACAGAATCACACCGTGGGTTGGAAGAGACCTTCAGTGCCACCCCCTGCCAGGGCAGGGACACCTCCCACTGTCCCAGGTTGTCCCAGGTCCTGTCCAGCCTGGTCTTTGAGGTGTTCCCTCGATCTCCTCTAATCTGGGAATATCAGCACCACCCCACTGTCCTCCTCCAAACTCTGCAAAGGTTTGGGTAAAAATCAGGTGGAAGCCTGTACCCCCCGTGCCAGCCAGTGCCAGGTGCCATCAGAGGGTGCCAGGGATGCCAGAAACCGGGCAGAGTTTGTTTTCCACGAGGTGTTTCCCGACCAAACCTTGTCTCCACGTGGGAAATGCGATTGTTTTGGAATGTGACTCCAAACCCTGTCAGAGGGGAGAGGCTGAAGAGTTGTGGGGTGGTGTGAGCAGGTGAATCATTGAGATGTGGTCAGTGCCACTCGTCCCAGGGCTGTCCCCAGCCTGTCGGGTGTCACTCTGAGCCCAGGGATTATTTTTACACCTGCAAAGTTGTTAAATGAGTTTATATAGAAGGATGGTTTTAATCCACATCCCTTACACTGATGGGAAGCATCCTGTGAGGAGCAGGACCCTTTGTGTGTGCCCCGAGGCTGCAGCTGGGAGGGGAATGTGAGAGCACAGCCCCTCGGGGCTGCAGACAGCCTGCATTAACCTGTCAGCTGTCCCTGCCCCTGGGGTGCCTTCAGACACACAGGAGGGGGCCAGGGGGCTGAGCATTCCTTCTGCCTGCAGGAAGAGGAGAAGGAATGGCAATGAAGAGGATGGTCACGTTCCCCAGACCAAACGTAGCACCAGGAACTCTGTCCTGCAGGACTCGTGGGACACTGAGGTGAGAGCTGCAAACCTGTGCTTTATCCTGTGCTTTTTGTTTCGTTTTGATTTCATAGTTTTGTGTTTGGGGTCGTGTGGTTTGGCTTGGTGACACCTGAGATTGAAATCAGTTTGGAAATCAGCATTTCCAGTGACCCTGAGTATTTCTGGGGAGAAATGTCCAAATGCTGCCTTGCAGCACCCAGGGAAAGCATTTCCAGCTTTTTGGTTTTGCTGTGTGGGCTGAGGGGGTGCTGGGGGTGGATGTGTCCCTGGGCTCACTCTGCCTGACCAGCAACTTTGCCTTTCCTCACAGTGAGGTGATTATTTGTGGGAGAAAGACAAAACACATTCCAGCCAGGCCTTATCTGATGTGCAAAAAATGCTCTGATAGAGCTGCTCAGTTTGAGCAAGACTTGTTCACAGCTAAAACAAACTCAAAACTCCTTGGTTTTTTCTCGTATTTTCCATGATTTCTTTGCTGGATGTGGGATAAACTCTCTTGTTTTCTTACACCTCACCAGACAGGTGTTCTCTCGGTGCAATTTGAGATTTCTTTTGTTAAAAAAAAATATAAAAATTGCTGATTTCCCAACTGCTGCCAGATTTTCTGAGATGTCACCTGGGTGAATCACCTGAGAATTCACTGTGAGCAACGTCCCTGTGTTGTAAAACATTCATGGAAAAGAGGGTGCAGAGCACAGGCTCCCTCTGAAGTTAATGAAATTAATTTCTTTGAAGGTTTTGGAAATATCCCTGTTTTTTTAGAGCCTCTTCACTTTGAAGGTGGGTTGTAATGAGCAATTACAGTCTGAATTATTACGGAATTAACTCAATTATTCAACTGTTCATTGTACTTCACAGAAAATATTTAGTTGCTGTGTAACTTGGAGCTCTTTTATAATCTGGAGATGGTTTCAGATGGGCATTTCTACATTCCTGCTGTGAGGGAAAGACTCTCTTAACCTGGACAAGTAGATGATGTGACAGCAACTGCTGGAAATGCTCTGAGAGCTGCTGTCCCTCAGGAGGGAACCCTCTGGGATGGAAACTGCCCCGTGCTGCTGTTTCCAGGAGGGACACTCTGCATTTTGGGCTGTGCTGGGGCAGCAGCCTGGTTTGTTGCCACCTGACCTGAGTCACTCGTCCCACAGGTCAGAGCCCTGCGTGTGTGTAGAGTAGTTAAAGGCTGGAGCAGCTTTAGTGTGGAACAAGGGGCTGAGTAGCAGTAAGGAGTTAAGGAGATCAGGAAGCCCCTGATGGTGAGTGGCAGAAGCTCCTGTGCCTGGCGTGTGAGCACTGTGTTTGGGCAGAGCCACTGAAAGCAGGGCTGGCAGTGCCACACACGAGGGTGGCATCAGCCCTGGCCTGGTTTGCTGCCAGGGGACAGCACGGGCACGGCTGACCCAGGGCAAGGGCACTGCTCAGCCTAACACAGACTCTGCTTCTTGCATGCACTTGCCTGCTAAAGCCTGGTTTTAACACATTAAACCCTGTGTGAGGCAGGGAGGAGCTCTCACTGCTGAGAATGTGGCACAGCTTCTCAAACAGCCCCGTTCTCTGGGAACAGAATTCCCAATGTTTTCTCCTGATGAATGGAGCTTTTTCTCCTGTTTTTTTGGCTTGTTTTCTTGTCAGATCCCTCAGCTGGGCATGCCCAGAAATTCAAGCCATGAGATTAAATCTGTATTATTCCAGCATTTGGTTAAGGACTTCCTGTGCCAAAGGGAGAAATCCTTGTGCTCATTGTGCACGAGTGCTTCCCATTGGAAAGTCTCAGCCAGTTTGCAACACTTGCATTTAGTTTCCTGGTACTTTGCTGTGTGCAAAGACACCTCTTGCTGGTTAAAAATCCCCACTGGATTTGGGATATTGCCTGGGAAAGGGGAGTGGGAGCAGTTTGTGACATCCAAGAGCACGGGAGAGTCGCTTTTCATCTCAGGGAACACCTGCTTTTTGTGAAACATCACCCAAAGTCCTGATTCCTCTGGCCTGTTTTGGTTCAAACTGACTGTTCCCTCTTGCAGAGCGAGGCCTCTTTGAGAGCACAACCTCAGGAAGGCAGTCAAGCAGTGTTTTAAACTCGATGGCAATCAAGCAGTGGTTTTTGTCAGGATTTCTTCCCATTTTTTGTCTTGCACGTTTTGCTCTGGAGAATGAGGTGAGGGGAGGTTTTTCCTCAGTGGCAGTTCAAAGCTGGGCTGTTCTGTGGTGTTACCCCTGGCTTTGAGTCCCACTGCTCATCCAAATGACATCCCATCCAAAGGATTTGCTGTTTTCTCCCCCTGGATTCTCCTTTCACCCAGGACAGGCAGCACTTCCAGCTTTCACAGGATGCAAACAGATTCTCCTCAGTCTCCATCAGTGCTGCTTTTTGGCCAGTTTCCCTAGGGATGTGCCACTGCTGGTGCTCCTGGAGAAGCCACTCACAGGTTACAGGCACCCAGAGTGTGACAGAAGCCTCTGCCCTGGGCTTAGTCCATGACAGGCACAGCCAGGGCTGGAGCTGCAGCCAGGGTTAAACATTAGCAAGGCAGAGCCTTTGCCATGGAATTTCGCTTCCTGTTCAGCCTGTCCTCCCTTTTCCAGGAGCTCAGCTCTGCTGTTTGCTCTGTATCTGGTTAGAAATCCATTGCTTGTCCCCCGATCCAGCCAGGAGAAGCTGCAGTGGATGCTGCAGAGGGTTCCTGAGGTTCCCAGCTGTGCTCTGCACCCTGGAAATCACCAGTGCAAACCCTTTGCTCTCCTTTTCCCAGGGAAGGAAGCGAGTCTGAGTGTTCTGGCTGACCCTTTCCTTCCTGAACAACTTCTGCAAACCCCAATTTCTCACAGTTCCTCTTTGTTCTGGCCAGGGGTGAAACACTGCCGGGTTCTTGGCAGAGATCAAACCAAAGTTCTTGTCCCCCACTGTCCAGGGAAGGGCTGCTCTTCAGTTCTAACTAAAACCAGATCGTGGCTCTGTGAAACTCCTCTTGGAAGATGTGGAGAGCAGCAGGGGCTGAGTGGCTCTTTCTCCAGTTCCTGTCACGAGGGATTGTCCCAGATCTGCACATTGCACAGGACATTTGTTTGTTTTAAAACTTCAAGTGTGATGTCACGGGTTAATGAGCCCAGTAAACCTTGGAGATGCCCTTTTGATAGCTATAGTATCCATAAATATCACCGGGCTGCTTTCCTTTGCCCCTGTAAAGCTTTGTTGATGCCTGTCTTGCTGACTTGATGACTTCAAAGATTCTTTTCTTGTCTGATTGTAGTCCAAATGCGTTACAGAGTGTGCACCACAGCCTGGGGACACGGTAGGTGTTCCATGTGATGTGGGCAGTGATCAAGGGGTGCCAGTGCTAGTGAATCTTTGCCTCAGAGAACTGGAAATAAAGAGGGTCTGACAAAGCCCGCCTGTCACCAGCCTGAGGTGTCAGAAGCACGTCCCAGGACACGCTGCCAGCTTTGAGATGCACAAAATAATCACTACTAACAGCTGGAAAATGTTTGTTGAGATGTGAAACTCGAGCAGCAAGCGAGGCCAGGTTCTCATTTGGATTTTTACCTTGATTTGCAGAAGGTGGCTGTAACGAAGCTCACTAAGGAGCGCAGACTAAAAGGAAACAAAGTGTCCTGTGCGGTGGGTTTCTCTCCGAGGCTGCTGTGACCCCTCAGCATCGCGTGTGACTCTTTGTGCTGCTCTGCAACAGCAGCTGCGCTGCCCAGCACCGCCCCCAGCTCCTCCCTGTCCTGCCGGGGCTCTTTACCCCTCTAGATGTAGGCAGAGGAGCTCTGCTTGCTCCCGTGGTTCCATCTGTGCTCCCTCGGGAATGACCCCGCTCTGTGTTTCTCTCTCCTCGCAGCCCGGGGCCCTCGGCTTGGCTTGCTGTGCTCCCACAGAGCTGAAGCATTTTTGGTGCTTAGCAAAACAAAGGAATTTGTCAGGGTTGGATGGTCAGGATCGATGGTGGATCAGGGCTGGGGGAGGGTTGTGTTCCACCCAAACATCCACAGTGCCTCCCTGGGCGCTGCACACACTGCCGGGTGCAGTTTGCACCATTCCTGATTTATCCAAACTCACTGCTGGGTGCAGTTTGCACCATTCCTGATTTACCCCAAACTCACTGCCGGGTGCAGTTTGCACCATTCCTGATTTACCCCAGGTGAAGCCCTTCTGGAAGTGGTGCTGACTGGCAAATCCCTGAGGATTTTGTGAAATTTTTCCTCTTCTGATGTGGCCACAAAGCTGTGACTTCTGTGGCTTAATCCTTACAAAAATATCGATTTTTTTTTTTAGCTGCTGTCACTTACTGTCTGCTTTTATGAATCATTTATGGGGTGGCAGAGTAGCCACTTGCTGATCAACTCACCCAAATATTTGCAGGTCCTGACCAGCAGATCACACAAACTAAAACTGGAACGAATGGAACCTTTCCTTAGCAGCCCTTAAAAAGGTTTTTTATGTCTTTGAATCCCTTATGATGATGGCAAATGCTCTTCCAGCCATTCCCATGAAATGTGCTTGTCCTAAATGCTGGCAAATGAGCCCTGGCCTTTTATCCCAGTCAAATGCTGAGTTCTTTTTCCTGCATGAGGAATTCCTCAGTGCCTCTTGCTCTTTCACTGTCATGTCAAGTAAATTGGTGTGGAATTGCCATGGAACACTTCCAGTTAACACCGCCCTGGAGTGCTTAACTGGGAGAAGAGTACTTGAGGGTAGGGTGTTCAAAGACTTAAACTGGGTGTTGTGTGCATTTGTTTCTCACAGCCTCTTGCTTTGGATGCTTCAGATCCCACTTTAGGATTGCCTTGTAGGAAAGTGCTTTGCATGGTGCTTCCCTCAAACCTCTGCTAGAGAAGTGCCAGCCCTGCCCTGCCTGCACTGACACTGCAGCTCCCTGGGAATGTTCTTTATTTTCCAATTCTCGGATCACCCCAGCAAACTTCACTAGTGCAGATGTGGGGTTGGGGCAGAGCTGAGGGGTTTAACTGGGGAGGACTGAACTCCAACACCCTGCAGGTCACTGAACCCCGGGTGAAGGCTTGTCCCTTCAGCTCTGTGACACTGGCAACAGCAACCTCTCCGTGCCAAGGTGGATTTATTCAGTCCATCGGGCTGGAAATGTGGAAGGGAGGGATTTATCCTAAAGGCTTGCTTCTGTGGGCTGAGGAAGAAGTGTCTGATGTTGCTGTTCACCCTCTGTGTGTCCCAGTCCTCCAGCAGTGACAGCGGCAGCAGCAGCAGCAGCTGTAGCAGCAGCAGCATCAACAGCCCCGACAGAGCAGAGTCCAGCCTCAACCCCAGGATTGCAGGATCCAGCCCTGTCTCCTCCCAGCCCTTCCACGAGCAGTCTGCACTAAGCCAAGGTCCTTACTTCCACATCAACCAGATCCTGAAGGAAGCCCACTTCCACAGCCTACAGAGCCGGGGACGCCTCCCTACATGATGACCCAGCAGCTCCCTGCCTTCTGTGAAGGGACAGCACTGTGTAGATTTGATATTTCAACTTCAAAGTTTGTTAAAATGGAATTGCACAAAATTGCCTGTTGCCTTTTCAGTCTATATTTGAAATAACAGGTTAACAGGAGATTGTTTACTTGTGGTTTGCTGCACTATTGCAATGCAAAAGGGGCTTTGAAGCAATTTTTATAGGATTCTTTTGGGGTGGTTCTAAAGTACGTGGCGAGAGGAGACTGAGGAGTCCACATGTGTGTTATAGGATTGCAAACTGTCCAATTCCAATCGACTGCCTAATCTGTTTGTTAGCAAGTTGTTGCTTTCTGTAAAGTTCTCTTAAGCGTTCCTCTTCAGTTTTATAAGTCTTTTTTAATTTCAATAAACTAGTTAAAAAATGATTTGGCAACATAATTTTTTGAGCATTTAGAGTTAGTGAGAATAGGAGCAGCGAGTGCAGGTCCTTAGGCCTGTGAGCTCCCACCCAGCTCAGGGTGATGAGTCTTCTCTCATGAGCTTCTCTGCTGCAGGACTGGAAGGGAAATGTGAAATTGGAGCCAGGACAGGTTGGGCAGGTGCTGCAGGGGCCTCTCAGGGCAGGGTGGTGGTGCCTGAGGACACAGGCCTCTTACCCTGCTCCAGCACCCCTTCCCAGCTGTGAAATGTTTTGTTTTCTGGTAGTGTGTAGGTTGTTTTGCCTTTTTTTTTCCCTTTAATTTAACAATGTAAGGATAGGAGGTGAAAGAGCAGCTCCACCTCTGTTCCAGCGGCCAGGGGACAAGGACAATCCAAGCTGTGCCTGTTCCCGTGCCACGCCCTGCTCTGGCTGAGGATGGGAAGCACTGACAATCCCAGAGGTGTCACCGAGGGGACAGACAGACAGATCTCAGTGAAGACAAACCCCCAGAGCAGTTTTATTGGTTGCTGCCTCACTTGGTCATGCCCGAGAGCCAGCCCAGCTTGAAGAGGGACGGTGCCACCGTGTCCTCGTCGTCGGTGAGGAGCTGCCGGAACAGGGAGCCCGGCCGTGCCTCGTCCTCCCTGGGCAGCACAGCGCCTGCAGCCTGGCCCTTTGCAAAGACAAAAGTGACTCTGACTCTCAGAGCACCCCGGGGCTCCCTCTGTCCCCCAGCAGCACAGGGGCGGAACCACGGCGTGCACCCGGAGCGGTGGCACTGCTGGGGGGTGACAGACACACACCTGGCTGCTGGTGGCAACAGGCACTTGGCAGATGTCACTCAATGCTCATAAACCCCTGATGAACTCATCAAAACCCTCTGAGCAGCAGGGCAGGGGCTGCTGCTCTCAGAGCAAGGGAGCACAGCGTGGTAGAAGCACAGCTGGTGCCCTTGCAGGAGCTGCTCTTGGAGAACTGCAGATTTTAACCCTTCCAGGAGAGTTTTAGCATTGAAGGAGCAAGCATCTGTCAGGGATCCTGCCAAGTGTGGCTAGCACAGGACATGGGTGTGCTGAGCACAGCACAGCAGCTAAGGGGAGTGACAGAACGAGCCAGACATCACTGCACACTTCTATGCTCTAGTCCAGCTGAGCTGTGAGAGGTAAGGAATACCTTTGCTGGGAAGTTCTGGGCTTTTAAACACCCCTTCTGCTGGGTCTGATCCTTAAGGGCTCCAAGAAGTGGAGGAGGAGAGTTGCAAATTGAACATCATCTCAAATGACACTGGTAAAACCAGACCTTTACCTTTGTCTTGGCTCTTGTCAACTCAACAACTTGTCCCAGTTGCCAAGACCACCACGGATAGATTGGGCTGGTAATAAGTAAAGGAAGCATTAATTGCTGCTTCCCACAGCAGTGAGGTGTTCCTTGGCTCTCACCCAGCACACAGAGCTCCACCTAAGCAGATGTTTTAAACTGGGGGGAATGGAGCAACAGAAAGATTGGCTGCTACAGCTCAGCAGCAGGGGAGCAGCAGGACACTCCTCACACAGCTGGGGTACCTGGCCAGGCCTCCTCGGGGTTACAGGGCAGCATCCCACTGCAAAGGAGTTCAAGCATTAGCTACTGTCCTTCAGCCTTTCTTGCAGCCCTCTTTAATGACTTGTCTTTGATGCATTGCCCTCATCCATGTGCACCCTCACTGCCTCTGCAGTGCTTGTTGCCTGCCACAGAGCAGTGGCCCCAAAACCACAGGGGCAAAGGGTGGGTGGGGTTTTGGAGGGTCCTGGGGAAATCCACCCCATCCCCTGCTGTGCTGCCGTAATGATTCATTTCACTGAAAATAAAAATCAGGTGAAACAATGCTTGGCTACTTTCTTCTTTGCCCATAAACTCCAGTGTCAGGGGGACAATGAACACTGGGAAAATATTCCTGTTTTTACAGCTCAGTTCAAACACCAACCTGGACTCTTTCTGTGCTCCTGGCAGTGGACTTGCTCTTCCGCGAGCTCGACATGCTCAGTGGCAGAAGTCCAAACCTTAAGAAATGGAAGAAAGAAATGTGGGAAGCAGCAATTCCAGAGCAGCTTCCCAGGGGCAGGAGAATGCCTGGAAGAGCCGGGTGCCTCACCTGATCTGGCTGGATGCTAAGGGCAGGATGTTGTGGAGCTCCTGCGAGCTCAGCGCGCCGCCCCTGCTCGTGTACTGGTTCTCTGTCCCAGTCAGCAGGCCAAAGAGAACCTGGAAGGCACCAGGAGAGGCTTGGATTTGGGGAAGAGAAGCTGGAACGGACCAGGATTTGGGGAAGAGAAAGCGGAGGGCACCAGGATTTGGGGAAGAGAAGCTGGAAGGGACCAGAGCTGTTTGGGGTTCCTGCAGAGCTGACCCCGCAGTTGCACACCGTGAGCACTGAGTGTGAACACGAAGTGTCTCTCTCCCCACTCTTAACTCTGGTGTTTTAATTCTTCCCACAGCTGAGTCCCAGACCTGTTTCAGCACTACTTAACCCAATTAGTGCTGCACAGGCTGCAGTGAATCCTGTTAGATAAAGTTCAGCCAGCCCCACACGCGGGGCCGTGCAGCCGGCTCAGCCAGCTCCTCTTATCTTCAGCTGGCACTGAACACTCTTCCCCTTTCCAGCCAGTGCCAGTGCTTATCTTGAGGCACTAAGCAGTTCAAAGGCAGCCCAGCTGCCCTGCTGCAGGCATTGTGCAGTGCCCCTGCCCAGCCCTGCTCCCTACCGAGGTTCTCTGCACCAGGCGGTTCAGGTTGCTGTTCAGGTGTGGGGTGAAGACATCCAGGTCGAAGGGATCGATGTGTCCCTCCAGGAAGTCGATGATCTTCTCAATCCTGCAGGCAGAGCAGAGGGCTCCTGTCAGGGGTGACATCCTGGTGATGCCAGCTCTGAAGCAGCCAGGGATTTCCTGTCTGGGGTGACTGAGCACAGCAGGAATTACTCAGCAGAACAGCAGCTGCCCCAAGGGTTCCCAGCTCTTACACCAGCAGCAGGAACTGCTCCCCGTGGTACCCCCAAGGCTTTAACTCTTGGCTGGAAACTCAACTGCTCTGTCCAAGGGCACCCTCTGAGGGTATCCCATGGACACAAGGAGGAGGGCCAGCCCCTGGCCACAGAACCCCACCCCTCCTGTTTAGAGGATGAGCTCAGTGTTTGTGCAGTGTCAGAGCTTGGAGCCTGCACTGGTTCAGGGCCCCCCAAAGCACTGCTGGAGGATGTGAACCCCAGAATGCACCATACCCGGAGTCCTGCTTGATCCTGCTGGGTTTTGTGTCCTCACTCTTGGCTGTCAGGATGATGCTCAGGTACCTCAGGTCGTAGAGTAACTGCAGAGCCCTGCTCTGGGTCAGGGGGAAGCTGTCTGGCCTCTGCAAACGGGACAGGCAGGAATGGGGCTCCTCCCTGGCACAGGGCAGGCTGCCCAAGGGGCAGTATTTGAGAACACCCACCCCAAGGCACAACCAGAGTGTGAAATCTGGTGTCTGCCTCAGCTGTGGGGGGGGTGAGTGTAAGGGTGTCCCCTTTCCAGCTGTCAGGACAGGCAGCTTCTGTTCCAGGAGCTGGATGTGTCCCTGCATTCCCAGGTACCTTCTCCCTCCCATCCCACAGCCAGGTACCTTCTCCTGCTTCTGCTCCACCAGCTTTCCATAGGCAGCCAGCACCTCTGCCATGCAGCTCCTCAGCAGCTCCTGCAGGGTGACCTTGGGCAGGGTGTGCCCACCAACCCTGTTCACCTCCTGGCACAGGCTGAACAGGAGGCACTGCACGTGCCACGAGGGCTGGGCAGGAGAACAGAGTTTATTTGCAGTTGCTCTGTGACCTCCATTCCCTTCCACATCCCTTCAGCTGGCTGGTGGGAGTGTCCCACTTCCTCAGCAGCCACAGAGCTCAGCCCACAGCTTGGCTCAGGCATCTCACAGGGTCTGGGTTACTGACACCTCAGATTTTGGGCTACAGCAGCTCCCAAAGCCCCCAAAAGACTTTACCAGACACCGAATGCAGTGAGAAGAGAATTGCCTGTTAATCTTCTGTCAGCACAGACCCTGCTTTGCCCACCCACTCCCTGGGGCTGTTCCTCCCTCACCTCCTGGGCCTCCTGAATTCTCACCCAGCTGCTTTTCCCCTCAGATAACAGAATTCACTGGATAAGGCTCACTGCATTTCCCTGTCCAGCCCCTCCCGTGCTGTGCAAACACAGAACTCACTCCAGGCCTGGCCTCCTCCCCCCTGCCACCTGCTTTGTCCCTGTGAGGTCCTTCCTGTGCCACCACCACCCCCTTGGGAAGCCACGCGCCTCAGTTCCCTTAGGATTCCACAGTCCCACTGCTGCAGCTGTCCTTCAATGCATCCAGCTTCCATGGAATCTCTCCTGGGACCTCTGTGTTTAAATCAGGCCTAAGTACTCCTCTGGCTCAGTTTCACAGGATCTGGGCCAACCTTACTCATGGAGATAAACAGCGACAATGACCTATTTCCTTCCTCTGACCTCTGTCCTCACGAGGTGAGTATCTCAAAGAGCACCACAGGGTGTTTGTCCTCTGCTCTGGCACCAAACACCCTCCCCAGCAGCTCAGCAAGTGGCTCTGGAGGCAGTGCTGGGCTCCTCCCACAGGCTGCTCCTCGTACCTGCACAGGCAGCCGGATCTTGGACGTCACGCTGCTCCCAGACTCGGTCTCCTCCTGGATTTCAATCTCGTCCCAGTTGGTGGCAGTGGCCAGGACAGAGCCAGCTGTGTCGAGCAGCAACGAGTGGGTGAAGCACTGAACCAGACCCTGCAGCACAACAACGACAGCCCTGATCACAGGACACTTCTCATAGGGCCAAGGCCAGCCAGCCCACCCTGCCTGTGACCTGCTGCACCCCTGCACCTCCCAAAGTGAACCTCATGGACACCAAGCCCCTGGAGCCACCCCTGTCTGACTGGGCAGCAGCACAGGGAGCTCTGGGCAGCCCCAGCAAGGGAACCCTCCCCAAAACCATCTCCGAGGAGGGAAACTGCTCCTTACTTTGGTGACAGCCGAGCTCCAGAGCTGATAAGCCACCAGGCTCTGCTGCAGGAGCTCTGCCTTCACCCCCTGCCACTTGGCCAGCTCGGGGGACACCTCCTGGGCTTTGCCCTTGCCCAGCTTCTTGGCAGAGCGCGGCTCCTTGGGCGGTGACTCCATGCCACCCGCCTGGCCCAGCACACAGCGCTGCAGGTGAGGGCACAGCTCGGGCAGGGCCTGGCACAGCCTGGCCATGAAGAGCACGGCGTTGAGCCTGGTGTCCCCAGGAGGGTCCAGCTGGCTCTGGGCACTCTGGAGCTGCTCCTGGACGCAGCCCAGGAGGTGCTGGACGCAGGTGACGCAGCGGTCGCGCAGCAGCCCCTGCACGGTGCCGGCGTCGGCGAAGCGGTCGAAGGCGGAGCGCGGTGGCACCGCGGGCTCCTTGGGGACAGAGTCGTCCCTGGGGAGGTAGGACAGGACATCCTCCAGGCTGGCCTTCAGCTTGGAGTCCAGCGTGGAGCAGAAGCTCTGCACGCACGGGGTGAGCGCCTGCGCCTTCATGGCCAGCCCGCTCCTGGCGAAGGGCCCGCGCTGCCCCACGCTGACCCACGCCGCGTCCCCGGGCAGGTCCCCGGGGCTCTCCGACCACAGGAACAGGGCCACGTTGTGCTCCAGCTGGATCTGCTTGCTCAGGGCACCGCTGCCAGCTTGCACTTCCAACTCCTGCAAGGCTACAGCCAGCAGCTGCTTGGAGCTGCTTGAAATGGAGTCGAAGCCTTCTTTGGTCAGAGTCTGCAACAGAACCAGGAGAAAAAAACAACTTCAATGTGGCACTAAAACACACCCTCAGTGCACTGTGAGACAACAGCCCGGGGTGCAGAGCAAGGCTCCCCACGGCACAGCACCCACCTGCAGCCTGTCCAGGAAGAGCTGCTGCAGCAGCTCCTCCCAGAAGGACACAGGCCTGTCCAGCAGGCGCCGGCACACAGCCTCCCAGTTGTGGCTGCTGGACTCGCTGGACAGCAGCTCCCACACGGCATCACGGATCCCTGCCAGCCCCTTCATGCTCTTCACGTACACCAGCAGGGTCCTCACCCCTGTCCTGATGTCATCGCTGCACCTGGAGGCAAAGTTTCACCTCTGTGAGGGGGTGAGGCCTTGGCACAGGGTGCCTGGCTGCTGGGTGTGCTGTGCTGCCTCAATCACGGTGAAGGATGAGGAGGATGAGGGGATGAGGAGGAAGGCAGCCAGGCTGGGATTGCCCTGTCCCACTCACATGCTGATCCACTGCTGCAGGGTCTCCCTGAGGTACTCCTGGCTGATGGGGTGTGCCAGGGTCCGCAGGGCGGGCTGGAATTCCACCACGGACTCGGGCAAGTACTTGAACCAGCTGCTCAGCTTCAGATCCTCCTCCAGCACCCCTCCTCTCCCTGGAATCACAGCCAGGGGTCAGCCCAGCACGGGGCACCCTCCTGCCTGCCCTCCTGGGCAGGCGCAGGCCTCACCTGCAGGGTTCTGGCCCGTGCTGCTCTCCAGGGTGGAGAAGAGCAAGCCACAGGGCAGGGCTGGCTCCGGGGCCACCCCCTCGGGCACGGTGTAGAAGAGAGCGTGGGCCTGGTACAGCGTGGTGGTGAGCAGCTCCATCAGGGAGCACACCTGGGCTTTGATACCTGCGCCTGCAGAGGTGACCGAGAGCCAGGACAGCCCTTCAGCACAGGTCAGTGACACTGTGATCCCTTCCAGGGAGGGCTGGAGGGCAAAGGATCCACCCTCATGCCCCACCTGCTTCCCCATTACAGGTGGGCTTGGCCTAAGCCCCTGAGAACCGTTAATTGTTGTGGTTTTTTGCAGTTTCTCTGCCACAAATCAATTTATGGGAATTCCCCACCTTGTTCCCATTTTTGGGAATCTCCCACCCCTGCTGTGGGGGCAGCAGGAGGCGAAGGGAAGGCTCACCCCGAGCTGCCCCGTGGCACTGACCGTGGTGTGGCTGGTTGAGCAGCTGCTGGATGGCCAGTTTCCTGGCCAGCAGGAAGTCAGCCAGGGCCTGCCGTGGGGAGCTGTCCTCCAGCAGCATGATGGCACACAGGGCTTCTGCCACGGCCTGGTCCGAGCCCGTGGGGCAGCGCAGCAGGGCCTTGCTCTCCTGCAGGATGGTGGATCTGCCACGGGAACCAGCTGGGAGTCACTGACCGAGCCTCACGCCCAGCTGGGCTCGGGGTGGCTGCCAAATGTGACTCTTTCCACACTGGGCTACTTGTATCTGGGGATTGCAGGACTGGTGAGATGGTTTTTGTGCCTGCCTGGTGGAATGGTTTGGGTTGGAAAGGATCTCCCTAAATCCCTGTCAGTCCTGTCCCGTTACCTGATGGAGCCCCCGGGGTGTGCTGCTGGCCACGGGATATTCCCTCTCATCCCTCTTTCCCTGCCTGCCAGCTTTCCAGGGCATGCCTGGGGCACTGAGCTCCCTCTTTCCCTGCCTGCCAGCTTTCCAGGGCATGCCTGGGGCACTGAGCTCCCAGCCTGGCACCTGCCCTGGGCTCTCCTGTGGGATCCAGGTGCAGCTGCCTCGGGCAGAGCCTCCTGGGACAGCTGAAGAATTACTGTCCCACCTTGCTGCAGCAGATTTCTGTCCTGCCTTCCCTGGGCTGTGTGTGAGTCCCGCTGACAGCGAGTGCTTTGGGCTGGGAGGCATCGAGCACTTCCAAATCCCTCAACCAGCCCCGAGTCTCACCCACCTTCCAGGATGGAAGGACACTCCCAGGGACGGGACACCCAGAACTCTCAGTGCAACCTGTGCCAGGGCTGCCCCCGCCTCAGCCAGCCCCCCGTGCCCCGTCCCGGCGCACCTGAGGTGGCTGGCAGCGGCCACCTGCCGCAGCAGGATGGGGAAGCGGGCGAGGACGGCGCTGCAGCGGGCTCGGGGGGTGTCCAGCTGCAGCTGGCGGCGCAGGTGAGCCCCCAGCAGGTGCAGCCGGGCCGCGGGCAGGTAGCGGCCGCCTTCCACCGCGCCCCACACCTGCTCGGGAACCTCCAGCAGCAGCTTCAGCTGCGCCGCCGCCCCGTAGAAACCCTGGTGAGCCGCTGGGAGAGCCTGGAAGGGCACACCGGGGTGAGGGAACAGACAGGGGGGTAAAAGGACAAAAATCCGGGATGAGTGGAGAGAAGGGATGTGGAGGAGGAGAGGAAGGTGGGAGAATGGGCCAAGCAGGGGGATGGAGTGGGGGGAAAAGAGCAGGGGAAAGAGCCCGTGAGGGTTCTGTGGGTGCTCTGTAAAGACTCTGGTGGGCCGGTGAACGAACCTGGAAGGGGCACACAGGGCTCAGGGGAGAAAATGGGGATGAAAAAATAGACGGGGGGATAAAAGAGGGGCAAAACCACGGCATGAGTGGACAGAAAAAGATGCGGAGGAGGAGAGGAAGGTGGGAGAAGGGGCCAAGCAGGGAGATGGAGTGGGGAGAAAAGAGCAGGGGAAAGAGCCCATGAGCGTTCTGTGGGTGCTCTGTAAAGACTCTGGTGGGCCGGTGAACGAACCTGGAAGGGGCACACGGGGCTCAGGGGAGAAAATGGGGATGAAAAAATAGACGGGGGGATAAAAGAGGGGCAAAACCACGGGATGAGTGGACAGAAAAAGATGCGGAGGAGGAGAGGAAGGTGGGAGAAGGGGCCAGGCAGGGAGATGGAGTGGGGGGAAAAGAGGCCATGAGGGGTTGGTTCTGTGGCTGCCCTGTAAAAACTGGTGGGCTGGTGGGCAAATCTGGAAGGGGCACACAGGGCTCAGAGGAGAAAAAGAGGAAAAAATAGACAGGGGGATAAAATAGGGGCAAAACCACGGGATGAGTGGAGAAAAAGGATGAAGAGGAGGAGAGGAAGGTGGGAGAAGGGGCCAGGCAGGGAGATGGAGTGAGGGGCAAAGAGTGAGGAAAAGAGCCCATTAGGGTTCTGTGGGCACCCCGTAAAAACTGGTGGGCTGGTGGGTGAACCTGGAAGGGGCACACAGGGCTGGGGAGAAAAGAGGATGAAAAAATAGACAAGGGGATAAAACAGGGGCAAAACCACAGGATGAGTGGAGAGAAAAAGGGATGCAGAGGAGGAGAGGAAGGTGGGAGAAGGGGCCAGGCAGGGAGATGGAGTGAGGAGAAAAGAGCGGGGAAAAGAGGCCATGAGGGGTTCTGTGGCTGCCCTGTAAAAACTGGTGGGTGAACCTGGAAGGGGCACACAGAGCTCAGGGAAGAAAAAGAGGAAAAAATAGACAGGGGGATAAAACAGGGGCAAAACCACGGGATGAGTGGACAGAAAAAGGGAAGCGGAGGAGCAGAGGAAGGTGGGAGAAGGGGCCAGGCAGGGAGATGGAGTGGGGGGCAAAGAGTGGGTGCAAGGGGGAAAGAGCCCATGGGGGTTCCGCGGCCGCCCCGCGGCCCCTCACCGTGCCGGCGGGGCCGGGCCGGGCCGTGCCGCCGCGCTGCAGCCCCCTCACGGCGCCCAGCAGGCGCTCGGCGCTCCGCCGCATCTCGGCGATGGTGTCGGCCGCCTCGATGAGGTCGCGGTAGCGCTCGCCCACCATCTGCCGCAGCTCCTCCCGCTTCTGCTCGATGCCGGCGCGCAGCCGCCGCTCCACCGCCCGCAGCTCGGCCGCCGTGTGCGCCTCGAACAGCGCCTCGGCATCGGCGCCGCGCGCCGCCATCGCCGCCACACCGACACCGGCACCGGCACCGGGCCCGGCCTGCGCCGCCAGGGCCGCCACCGCCATCTTGGGCACGGGAAGGGGACAGCGCTTCCGGGCGTCACCGCGGGGCGGCGCCGCCATCTTTGTGCCGGGCTCCCGGCTGTGTCTCCACGGCAGCCGCCATCTTTGTGCCGGGCACCCGGCTGTATTGCCACGGCAGCGCCGCCATCTTCGTGCCGGGCACACCCAGGCCTGGGTACCGACGGCAGCGCCGCCATCTTTGTTCCGGGCACAGCCGCACGCCGGTGCCGTTGCCACGGCAGCGCCGCCATCTTTGTGCCGGGCACAGCCGCGTTGCCACGGCGACGCGGCCTGAGGGGAGCGAACGCCGCTTTATTTATTTTATTTATAGTTTGTTTATTTATTGAATCGCGTTTTCTTTTTCTCCCCCGTTTCCCGGGAAACGGGTCGGGCTCCGCGGCCTGCGGGTGCCGCTGTCCCTCCACACAGCCCGGGAGGTTTCGCCCTCAGGGCGCTTTGGGCTTGGTTCGAACTGGGCTGTTTGCTCATGCTCCCCGTCCAAAATCACCGCTCTGAGCTCCGGGATATTCCCCCCAGATCCATCCAGGATGAAATTGAGCTTTCGGGTCCCTTCCAGCCCCAGGGAGAGGCGGATCCAGAGGCAGGCAGGATCCTCGGGAGGGGCTGCAGGCAGAGCAGGGGGCTCGGGGGCGAGGCTGTGGGTGCTGGAAACTGAGATGGGAAGGGAAAGAATCCCGGCTGTTCTGGAGTGATTTTATTTTATTTTATTTTATTTTATTTTATTTTATTTTATTTTATTTTATTTTATTTTATTTTATGTCATTTTATTTTATGTCATTTTATTTTATTCTGGAGTGGTTTATTTGCGTGGGCGGTGCTGGTGCTGCTGGCCTGCACTGCTGCTCAGGGCCGAACTTTTTGTTTGTAGGAGTTGATAAACTCTGCTCCCAGGGGCAGGAGGGGAGCAAACTGCCCCGAACGGTGCCAGGGCAGGGGCAGCTTGGACATCAGCAGGAATTCTTCATGGAAAGGGCGCTGGAGGGGCCCAGGGCAGTGGGGAGTCCCTCCCCATCCTGCATTAAGGATTTAAAGCTGTGTGGAGGTGGCTCTGGGGACAGGGGCAGCGCTGGCCTGGGCAGTGCCAGGGCTGGACCCAGAGGTCTTTGAGGGGTTTTCCAACCTGGACAATTCTCTGGCAGGGAGGTGTCCAAGCCTGGCTCATATCCCGCTGCTCCAACACACACAAACAACCAGAAACTGTAGGAAAACTCTTTTATTTCCCTGCTGTGACACAGAGCGTGGCAGTCAGGAACCTTTGCTGCAGGAGGCTCAGTCCCCCGCCGGGACACTGAGGAATGACTGCCAGGGAGGAAAACAGGGCTGGCAGCAGGGACACGTCCTGGTCACCACGGAGCCACTGACAGGCCCAGCTACGGACACTGGGGTGGACAGTGCTGCCCTGGATCTCTGCAGGGAGCAGAGACCTCCCTTCACCTCCCTCGCCCTGCAGAAGTCACCTGGCAGAGTGGCAGCAGCCTCCGTGGTCCCCCCCGGCTCGTGCACGGTGCCACCAACCCCCTGGCACACGGGGAGGGCGAGGGGGAGCCGAGGGTGCCCCGTGGGGCTGTGCCAGGGAACAGAAAACCCCGCTGGGCACAGCCAGTATATACAATTTACATGTATTTACAGTCAGTAACCATGCCGTGCCTCCTCCCGGACACGGCGGGCAGTGGGATGGAGGGATGGAATCCATGGAGGGATGGAATCCATGGACAGAGGGATGGAATCCATGGAGGGATGGAATCCATGGACAGAGGGATGGAATCCATGGAGGGATGAACAGAGGGAGTGGCCAGGCTTTGCATCCCTCAGCATCTCTCCTGGTCCAGACTCAGCTGGAGGAGTGTTGGAATTTTAAGTTTTGATTTTTAGAAATATGAAATGTTTGTGTCAGAGGAGGATCCTCCCAGTCTGCCTCTCCTGTCCTGGCTTTTCACAGTCCAGGCCCTGGAGGAAGCAGGGAGTGGAGCTGGAATCCCTTGGGGTGGCCGGGTGCCAGGCTGGGTGCCAGGTGCCAGGCTGGGAAGGGCAGGGGTGCCCTGGGCTGGGCAGCAGCAGTCTGTTCCAGGCTCAGCAGCAGGAAGGCAGCTCTGGGGTCTGCTGTGTCCTTTGCTGGTGCCTCGCTGGTGATTCCCCCTTGGAGCAGTGGCAGGGAGGGGATGGAGACTCTCCCTGAGCAGTCTGGATCCGAGGCTGGATTGGAGCAAGGCTCTTCCCACCAGGGCAGGGTGGGGAGCAGTGCAGTTCAGAGATTATTTCAGTCCAAGGCAGCACTGGAGCCGGCACGAGGAGCTGCAGAGGTGCTCTGGGAAGGCTCCAGGTCCAGCCCCAGCCCCTCCTGCCCACCTGAGCAGGACTTGGGGCACTCCCAGCACAGGGCCCAGAGCCAGGCTGGCTCCAAGGGGACACGGGGATGAGGAAGGGGACAGCAGGGATGGCTCCATGCAGGTGGATCCCGTGGGACTGGGGGCTCTGGAGCCACCCCTCAGCCTCTCTGGGGAAGCAGTGGTGAGCAGGAAAAGGGGAATTGGTTCCCACAGGCTTTGGGGAAGCCTCCTGGGACTGGCAGGGTTCAGGAGGGACCCATCCCCTGCTCTGGGCATCCTGGGGAGCCTGTGGCACCCCCCATTCTGTGCTTCCCAACACCTGGGGTTTGGGAAAACGCCCTCCCTGCCTCTCCAGGCAGGAGCTGCCACTGATCCCTGCTGCCCAGGGCCAGGCTGTGTGTGCAGCACCTGCAGGCTCAGTCTCTTGGCTCTGCAGCCACCAGCAGAGATTTCTCATCCCGCCACCAGCAGCCCTGCGAGGCTGTGCAGAGCAGATCCAATCTGAGGTCAAGTTCCCACTAAAATCAAGTGGCTGGGAAGGAAAACTTCGTTACCGGCAGCAGCAGCAGCGGGGCTGATGTTTATTAGTCAGCAATGAACAGCAGAAGGTTTTATTTTGCTGGTTTTGCAGCCACTGGTGGGCCGTGGCTGCAGCTCCCTCCCAGCACTCCAAGGCAGCACATTTTGCTTCCCTGCACTTTTTTCCTCGGTGAGCTGTGGAAAGGTGGCCAAGGAGAGCCCTGGCAGCCCCCAGGAGCCACCTGGTGCCCCTGCCCTGCTGCATCCTGCCTCGGTGCCCTTTGGGATGTTGGTGGCAGCGCCCCACGCCCCTCATTCCTCACCTGCAGCCCCCTCACCCCCATCCCAGCAAAGCAGGGACACATTTCAGATGCCACTCTGAGCACCCAGAGGTGTCACTGCCTGGGGCTTTGCCAGGACAAAGCTGCCCTGGGTAGGGAATTCCCAGGATTTCTGTATTTCCACATCAAACGAGCGCAGAGGGTGGGGATACAGTTGGGAACAGGTGTCCCATCCATCCGTGGGGATTTTGGTGACAAGGCTTGCACAGACACAGCTGGGACGGAGTCAGACACCGGCAAGCCCGGGTGTGGCCTGGCTGCAGGTGGGTGCTGGGGCTCCACACCCCCTCCCACCACCCGCCTGCCCACGGCGGCACTGACGCATCGCTGCGGCTCTGCCACCGAGCCCAGCCCCGCTGCCAGCCCTCCCGGGCCCTCACCGTGCCCCGAGCTGCTGCTGCTGCTGCTGCAATTCCTGCAGCGTCAGCAGGGACCCGCCGTGCCCGAGCCCGGGCTCAGCTCACCCTGCACCCCAGCGAGGGGACAGGGAGGTGCCACCCGGGCACCTGAACTGGCGCTGCTCCTCGGAGGAGCAGGGAAGAGTTAAAAGCAAACAACTGCTGACGCGGCTCTGCTTTGTCTTGCAGTAAATGCAGCGTGCAGCAGAGCCAGGAGCAGGTACCCTGGCAGCGAGCCCTGTTTGGGAGCTGGCAGGGGTGGCACGGCAGGATGGGATGGCACAGGCTGGAGCCGGGCAGAGCCATGGGCAAACTTCAGCCAGAGCTGGGGCTGAGGGATGGAGCATCGCGGGCTGAGCAGGCGGTGCAGCCTCACCTCCCACGCTGCTCGTACCGCGGGGTGAAGGCTCCGTTCTGCGGGAGATGGTGGCACAGGGCAGGGTGGCCGAGCCCCCTGTTCTCCGCACCCAAACCCCCGTTCCCACGGCTCGGCTCTGCGGCAGGGGCCTGTGAACGCTGCTCCGGCAGGAAACCGGCACTTCTCCCTCTCCCCTGGGCTTTCCCTGGAGCTGCGCTGCCCAGGGAGGGGCTTCGGGGGGGGTCAGAGCCCCGGGTTTATGCTGAGCTGGGAGGGCAGCCAGGGACAGGGACAGGGACAGGGACAGGGACAGGGACAGGGACAGGGACAGGGACAGGGACAGTGCTGGGAAGGCAAACAGAGCGGATGTGGGGCCAGCCCCGCTGCCCCTCGCACAGTGCAGGATCCAGGGGATGGATCCGCGCTGCCCTTCCCCATCCCCGGCTGCTGGGAGCCCCGCTGTCTGCTCTGCCCGGTGCCTTGGGCTCGGGCGCGGGTGGGGAGCGAGTCCCCAGCCCCCCTGCCCGCCCCCACGCTCTCCATCACCCCTGCCTCCGGCGTGACTTGCCTGGCAGGAGCAGGGAGGGGTCAGCCGGAGATCCTCGGAGCCGTGGCCGGACAAACCTCGATGCGAGCCGGGCGCAGGAGCCGCTGGCAGCGCGAGGTGCCCGTGCCAGGCTCCTGCAGCGTGCCACCGCCGCTGAAACACTTCCAAGGATCTCCCAGCAGGGAGCGGAGCGCTCGTGGTGCCCGGAGCAGCGTGGGACCGGCCGATGCGGACGGAGGGAGGGGCAGCGCCTCCCGGGGAGGGCAGAGGGGGAAGAAATTCTCCATCCGAGGAGAAAATCTGCGGCAGGGCCAGGGAAAGGGCTCCGCAGGGCTGCAGGAGGCAGGGCGGCGTCAGAGGGGCTGCTGCGGGGGCACAGCTGCGTCCCCCGGGATGTCACCTCCGAGCTGGCGTGTCCCCTCCGGGCAGGGCGGCTGCGGCAGAGCAGAGAATAACCCGGGGACAACGCAATCCCAAACATCCTGGTCGCCTCGGGAGGGAGGGACACTCGCCGGGAGATCCCACCAGCTCGGAGTCCTCGTGCTGTCACACACCTGTGGCCTCGGCTCCTCCTGAGGTCGCCCGGTGTGTCCAGGGGCAGAGCCCCAAAGCCAGCCGGCCCCGAGGGTGGCACGGGGGACCCCGGCCGTACCCGTGCCCACGGTGGCACTTTGGTGTCGCCGCGAGCTGTCTTTGTTTTCCTGGCGAGGCGGCTCCTCCTGACCCGTATCCTTCCCAGCCAGCCCAGCAGAGAGGAGCCCAGCGGAGGAGCCCCGAGGCCATGGGGCGCTCCCAGCCGTCCCCTCAGGTGGCATTCCCGCCCTGACCCCGCGGTGCCACCCCTGCTGCAGCCGGGCAGGGGCGCAGGCAGGACAAACCCGGCGTCCCCTCAGATGCTCGTCTGCAGGTCGCCGTTGAGCAGGGTCCTCTGCGTCTCCGTGGTCTCGTTGAGGCGGGATTTGTCCTGCTTGCTGTCGCTGCGGTCGGCCTCGTCCATGCCGCTGACCTTCACCAGGCACAGGACGTTCTGAAAGCTCTTCTTGAAGTTGTCGGACAGGAAGGCGTAGAGGATGGGGTTGGCACAGCTGTTGGCGTAGCTCAGCACCACCACGAAGTCGAACATGCCCTTGAGGACGGGCGTGGGCACGATCATGACGGACACGGAGGAGACGTTGAAGATGTAGAAGGGGAGCCAGCAGAAGATGAAGACGGCGACCACGATGGACACCATCCTGGTGACTTTCTTCTCGGACTTTTTCCTCTTGGAGGAGCCCACCCTGATGCCCGAGGACTTGACTTTGATGATGATGAACAGGTAGCAGAGGCAGATGATGGTGAGAGGCACCAGGAAGCCCAGGATGAAGGCGTAGATGATGAATCCCGTGTACCAGGCGCCCGACTCTCCCGGCCAGATGATGGTGCAGCTACTCCTGCCGTGGTTGTGCTGCACCCCAGCATAAATCATGATGGGCATGATCACCAGCAGGGAGACGCCCCAGACGGCCACGTTGATCATTTTGGCTGTCCTGGGCCGCCTCCACTTGGCAGATTTGATGGGATGGACCACAGCCAGGTACCGGTCGACGCTCATAACCGTCAGGCAGAAGATGCTGGTGAACTGGTTGATGCCATCCACTGTCATGACGATCCTGCAGAGGGCTTTGCCGAAGGGCCAGTGCACCAGGGCCACCTGCATGGCCAGGAAGGGCAGGCCGAGCATGAAGAGCTCGTCGGCGATGGCCAGGTTGAGGATGTAGATGTTGGTGATGGTTTTCATCTTGGCGTAGCGCAGGATGACGTAGATGACCAGCGTGTTGCCGCACAGCCCGACGATGCACACCACGAAGTAGATGAAGGTGAGGATGGCGTTGCTGGTCAGGTCGAAGTGCTGGCCCGTGGCGTTCTGGGAGGTGTTGGTGGGCGCCTCCAGGGAGAAGTTGTCGAAGGGGGAGGCCGGGGAGAACCAGAAGGCGGTGGCGTTGGGCAGCTCGTACTCCATGGCTCTCCCTGGGCACTGCTGGCTCAGAGGAACCGAGATGTCATCTTCCCTGGCTCTGGGGAGAGAGGAGAAGATTCTAGAAATCAGGGAGTAAATAGAAATGAAGGGATTCCTGGGGAGGATCTGTCCATCCTGCTGCCAAGCTCAGCGGGAGAGAGGCTCCCTGCAGGGGGGGTTCCCAACCCATCTGCCCACCTCCTGGAGCAGCCTGCCCGAGCACGCCACAGCTCCTCCTGGCTCTGGCGATCCCGGAGTCTTTCCGACTCCACAAATCCAGCCGGTGCGTCCCGGTGGGTGCGACTGATGCCCGGGAGCACCGAGCGCCGGGGGAAAGCCTCCTCCTCTCCCGGCGCTGGGCAGGTGCAGCCCCTTCCCTCCCGGCCGGCACCGGCACGCCGAGCCCGGGCGGCTCCGGTGGGCGACGAACTCCGTGCGGGGATGGCCCCAGCCCCGGCCCCGTCTCTGCTCCGCTGCAGAGGGCACCGGGCGGTGCTGCCCCGCCGCTCACCTGCTCCGGCCTGCGCTGCTCCCCCTGTGCTGCCCACCCTGCCCTGCCTGCTCTGTGCTGCCCACTCTGTGCTGCCCACCCTGCGCTGCCCACCTTCCCCACATTGCCACCCTGCCCTGCCCACCCTGCTCTGTCCACCTTCCCCACACTGCCCATCCTGCTCTCTCCACTCTACGGTGCCCACCCTGCCCTGCCTACCCAGCGCTGCCCACCCTTCAGCGCCCACCCTGCCCTACACACCCACCCTCTCTGCCCACCCGGCCCTGCCCACCCTGCTCTGCCCACCCCGCCTGCGTTCCCTCTCCTACTGTGCCCACCCTGCCTCCAGTCTGCCTCCCCACTGTCCCGCGACATTTTGGTTCCAGCCATGGCCTCAGCTCCTCCAGAGCCCCCAGGGAGAGGGCAGCGTGCTGTGACCCCAATGGAGGGTGACCCAAAAGGATTCTGAGAGCTCCAAAGTCTCCCTGGAATGCTGGAAATTCCTTGGCCCCAGCAGTTTGCATCTTGCTTCCATTGCCAAGCCAAGGCAGGTCCTTGCTGGTCCTCCCATCTGGGAGAGGCCGCCAGGTGATGCTGAAATATTTGGGGACTTGTGCAGCACAGGTGGCTCCTGCCACAGCCTCTCCCTGGAGGAGGACGACCAAAAAGGAGAGGTTTGGGGCAGATAACCTCTGCTCTGGTTTGTTTGGGATCTTGAGAGCAATTAAATTATCTCTATTCCTGCCCCTCTTCCCATCACTTGTCCAGGAGACAATAGAGAGCAGGAAATTAAGAGTGGCTGTGAACAAAGAGCCCCGCGCTGAGGCTGCCGAGCGCGGCCGGGAGCTCCTCGTTTTCACTTCGCCATCCACTTCCCAAGGCGGATCTAAAGACATCAGGTCCTGGAGCACCGGCAGAGTCGTTATCAGCCTCATTAATCTTTAGGAGGCAGGAAAAAGCTGCTTCTGCTGAAGCTGATGTGGGAATTAATGTCCCGGCAATAGTGGGAGAGGAGGGGGGTGAAGGGGATGCTCGGCGCTGTGAGGGGATCGGACCTCTGGGGTGTCCCTGGGCGGCTGCACCGGCCCCCGGAGGAGGGAGCAGAGCCCAGCAGAGGGGTTTGGTGCCTGTGCCCTTTCCAGAGCTGTTTCACCCTCTCCTGTCTGGGTCCTGTACCCTGCAGCGATGTCCTTCCCCCGGCAGTGGTGGCCGGGAGCGCTCCCAGCGCTGCTCCTGAATCTCTCCCCGGAGCAGGTGACACTGCCACGTCCCTCCCCGGGGCTCCCTGGTCACCAAGCCCTGGCACCGAGAGCCCCGGGGGCTGGAGCAGCGGGCAGGGGGAGCACAGGGAGCTCCCAGCTCCCGGGGCTGCCTGGGGAGCATCGGGCTCCAGCCCCTCCCTGCCTCTCACTCCCACCTCGCTGGGAAGCCGGGGCCAGGGAGCTGGGGGAATCCAGCCAGTTCAGCCTGGCTGAACCCAGATCTGATCTTCATTAAAAACCCCATCAAATTAATGAAATGATGGCCCAGTGGGTACTGAGGAGTGGATGGAAGCTGATCTCCACCCAGGAGGAGGGCAGCAGCAGCTGCCAGAGTCAGGAAGCCATCCTTGAGCCTTTTGAAGGGATTTTTTTTTTTCATTCTGCCTAGTTTTGGGGCTGAATTAAAGCCCAGTGCAGAGTCTGCTCTGCGTCCCTGGGTGGTCCCTGGTTCGGAGGGACGCTGTACCAGCAGCTGGTTTGGTGCTGGCAGATAAACTCCTCTTTGTCCTTTTGCCTGGGAAGCATCCACAGCGCTGAAAAGCGATTTACTGGCAGGGCTGGAGAGAGGAGGAACACACAGCCCCTTCCCACACAGCGAAAGAACCCCTGGGAGAGGGGCACGGGGGTTATGTGACCACAGAGAGGCTTTAAAAACCCTTCCAAGCTTTCTGCCATCCCTTCCCAGCTGTTCCACAAGAGTCCCTGTGGAAAACAGAGCTCTCGACCCCTGTCCTGGAAATGAGTGTTGTAAGGAGCTGGGGCTGGGATGCCAACGGAGGGGTAGGGTGAGCTGGCCTTTCTCCTGGATCCGTGGCACGGAGGCAGGAATGGAGGGGGCTGGGCTGGGAGGGGGTGCAGCTGCTGTCCCCCAGGAGGGGAAGGGTTTGCTGTGCAGCCAGCCCGAGCATCCCTGTGGATCTCTTGATGATCTCTCTTTGGAGAGACAGCCCCGAGCAGCTCCGTGGTGCCCCAGCCCCTCCTCCCCCCTGCCCTCAGAGGGACCCCGCTGTCCCCTGCGGCCGTGGGGACAAGGCCAGCACAGGCAGGGATGACCGTGCTGTTTCTGTCTCGGGGCACTCGGGCTGGCACTGCCCTTTCCCTGCCTTTTCCCTTCCCAGCTGCAGCCCCGGGTGGCTTCGGCGGCTCTGCTGATTCGTGCCTGGAGGCGGCCTGGCCGCGTTTCAGGGATGTCCGGGCCGGGGGGAGGCTTCGCTCTCTGCTAATTAGCCAGACAAACAGTCTGGGCCACGTCCCCGCACCCCGAGGCGCGGCAGGACCCGGCTGGTGCCTGCCAGATCTAATCGGGAGCGTCTGCAGCGCTGATGGATGGCGGGGGAGAGGCGCTGGCGCCGTCACCTGCGCCCGGGGCAGCACCGGGACCTGCCGGGATCCGGGCAGCATCCGGAGCCTCTCAGGATCCGGGCAGCATCCGGACCTGCCGGGATCCGGGCAGCATCCGGAGCCTCTCAGGATGTGGGGCAGCGCCCGGACCTGGGATCCAGGGCAGTGTTCACCCCCCGGAATCCAGGGCAGCATCCAGAACCTGCCAGGATCCAGAGCGGCATCCAGAACCTGCGAGGATCCAGGGCAGCACCCACGATCCCCGGGATCCAGGGCAGTGTTCACCCCTCGGGATCCAGGGCAGCATCCAGAACCTGCCAGGATCCAGGGCAGCATCCACAATCCCCGGGATCCGGGACGGGTCCACACCCGGGATCCAGGGCAGCACGCACACCCCCAGCGCTGGGGCAGCATCCACAATCCCCGGGATCCAGGGCAGTGTTCACCCCTCGGGATCCAGGGCAGCACTCTCTGCACCCCGGGGGTCTCCCCTCCAACCCCACCCCGGCTCCTGCTGCTTCCAGGCCTGCCCACAGCCGGTTCCTTCCTCCCCCGCCGCCCTGCCCTCCCGGCCCGCGGTGATTTGCTCCCTGATCGGTTTATTGATCGCGGAGGGGCCGGCGGGGCTCGGCCGCCGCTGAGCCGCGGCCCGGAGCGCTGACACCACGGAGCCCCGGGCAGTCCCGGCTCCGTGCCGGCTCTGCCTGGCTCCCGGGAGGGTCCCGGCGTTAAACCGGGCCTGAGCAGGCTGGCTGTGGCAGCCGGGCTTTGTTCCGGCTGGAATGTCACTGCTGTGCCAGCACCCGCTGTCCCTGCCCTGCACAGGGACCCTCCCGGCCCGAGGAGGATGGAGAAGGATGGAGAAGGATGGAGAAGGATGGAGAAGGATGGAGAAGGATGGAAGTATGTCCTGGGACAAGCCGGGGAGCTCAGCCCTGGGACGGGACCGTGACCCCGCCTGGCCCGGCCTTGGGGACAGCCCCGCGTGTCCCCAGCGCCTGTCTGGCCATCGCGCTGGCTCCGGGCTGGCACAGATGGGTTTGGGTTGGGAAAGAGCCCGGCCGCGAGCCCAGCCTGCACGGAGGGGACACCGAGGGACACGAGGGACACTGAGGGACACTGAGGGACTCTGAGGGACACTGCAGGGACACCGAGGGACACTGAGGGACACCGAGGGATACTGAGGGACACTGAGGGACACAGAGGGACTCTGAGGGACACTGAGGGACACGAGGGACACTGCAGGGACACTGAGGGACACTGAGAGACACTGCAGGGATGCTGAGGGACACAGAGGGACACTGAGGGACACTGAGGGACACTGAGGGACACAGAGGGACACTGAGGGACACTGCAGGGACACTGAGGGACACTGAGGGACACTGAGGGACACTGAGGGACACCGAGGGACACTGAGGGACACTGAGGGACACTGAGGGACACTGCAGGGATGCTGAGGGACACTGCAGGGACATGCCGGCCCTTCCCAGGGACATCCTCAGCCGGCGGTGCCCCGTGCCAGCCCTGGGCAGGACGTGCCTCTGTGCCCAGACAGTTCCATGGCAAAAACCCCACAGGATTTGGGTGCTGGCTGCTCCCTGGAGCGGCCCCTTGCAGGGTCCCCTTCCCTGTGGTGGGGGATGGCAGCAGATTTGTCCCCTCGGGGTGTTTAATGTGCATTTTAGGGGCTCTGGGCCTGCTCCTTCCTGCTGGACAGGCAGGGCTGTGACACTGAGGGGACAGGCAGGAATGTGACACTGACACAGGCAGGAATGTGACACTGAGGGGACAAACAGGGCTGTGACACTGACACAGGCAGGGCTGTGACATTGGGACAGGCAGGAATGTGACACTGAGGGGACAGGCAGGGCTGTGACACTGGGACAGGCAGGGCTGTGACACTGAGGGGACAGGCAGGAATGTGACACTGACACAGGCAGGGCTGTGACATTGGGACAGGTAGGAATGTGACACTGACACAGGCAGGGCTGTGACACTGAAGTGTCCCCTCTCCCCTCACACTCAAGTGACACTGGGGACCGGGGGTGGCAGTTGGTTTTGCTGATGCTCCTGCACAGAGCCAGCACGGCTGTCCCCATTGCCACCCACGCGTCCCCAGGCAGGGCCATCGCTGCCAGCCGCCCCCAGCCCGTGCAGTGTCCCCGTGTCCCCAGGGCCAGCCCCGCCGGGTCACAGCTGTCCCCAGCCCTGCCAGCACGCTGTCACAGCGTCACCCGGATCCCCGGGGTGGCGGGGGCAGCTCCGTGTGTCTGTCCCCGTGTCCCTCCCAGCTGGCCCCGCAGCTAATGAGGGATGCAGCAATTACGGGGCCAGATTGATTAAACCCTAAATCAGGGAGCTTTCAAACGGCCCCGACCTTTCCCACCGGGGCCGAGCAGAGGCTGTGGCACCCAGCTCAGATGTGTCCCTGTGCCACCCCTGCTCCGTCTGGTGGGGCACGGGGGGGGGACACCGGGCTCTGTCACCGGGGGACGGTGACAGCGCTGCCCCCCTGCAATGATGGTTTTGGGGTGTCAGGAGGAATTCCTGGAGAGGCTGAGCAGCTGCCCAGGAGCTTTGCAGTGCCCATCCCGGGAGGTGGCACCCGGAGCTCTGCCCTGGGGACAGGGCGCGACCCAAAAGTCATTCCCAGCCTCCAAAATTCCGGCATCCTGTGACACCCACGAGCGGACTCTGGCTGCACCCCGGAGTGCCAGCGACGGCCGCTAGCCACGGAGCGAGCCCTGCTCGCCGCCCCACGCTGCCACGTGCTGCTCATTAGCGCTGTTAATTAGCCGGGCTGATTACGGGCGCGGCCAGCGCGGGGATGGCAGTACGGAAGGGACTCTAAGGGCGTTCTAACAAGGCGGAGCTGTGTCCGGGGGTCTCTTTGCGGCGGGGGGGATGGTGACACCGCCCCCGCCGCGCTGCCATTGGCTGAGCGCCGCGGGGGGCGGGGCCAGCCTGCGGGCACGTGTGCGCACCCGGAAGCGGCGGCGGGACCGGCCCGGCCCGGGCGCAGGTACCGGGAACCGGGCGGGACCGAACCGGGCCGGGAGCTGCGGGGATGGGGCGTTCCGGCACCCCCGCTGTCAGCGGGCACCGGCACCGCCGGGTTCGGGGGGTGCGGGGGTCCTGGCAGCGGCCGGGGCGCCGCGTTTGGGGGTTCGGGCCCTGCGGGGGCTCGGGGTGAGCCAGCGGCTGAGGGGGGTCCGGGATTGCGGGGGGTCCCGGGGCTCCGGGTTTGGGGGTTTGGGTGCCCTGGGACCGGCCACGCTCCGGGTTTGGGGGTCTCGGGACCGGCCCCGCTGTTGGAGAGCCCGGGGGTGCCGGTGAAGGGTTGTGGAGAGGATTTTTGGGGTGTTTGGGTGCTCCTGGGTGGGCTGCAGGACCCCCCCGTAGGAAGGGGGAATCTTCCTGCGGGGTCTGAGCCGGGCACGCACCTGCAGGGGTTGGGAAAAGCCTTGGGACGAGGCTGGGAGAGCCTCTGGAGCTGCCAGAGTGTCTGTATTTCATATTTATTCACACATAAACCTATCAATGCCTGCATATCCCATCTATTTACACAAATGTACCCATGCAGGTGTGTGTCATCAATTCCTTAGTCTGTGTTTCCAGCCTGGGAAGGAATTATAAACCATATTTATAGATATAAATATAAATTATATAGTAATAAATATGAATGGTAAATTCATTAAGCTGTATTTCCATGGCACTGCCAGTCCCTGGGCCATTCCCAGGGTTGGTAGCCCACGCCCCAGGGTTGGTAGCCCACGCCCCGGGGTTGGTAGCCCATGTCCTGGGATTCGTTGCCCCTTTCCCCTTCCCCGAGGTGCAGGGAGCAGGTGCTGTGAGTGTTTTCACCTTCCACACCAGGAAAACGGGGCTGGGGGCACAGAAGGGGCCTGGGCGAGCCCTGAGCTCCAGGTGGGCTCTGCTGGGTCCCGATGAGCTCGGCTTAAATTGCAAAGCCTCGCCTAAGGGGGAGAGAGAGCTTGGGGGGGATGGTTGAGCTGGCTGGGACCCCAGTGCTGCAGGGGGGTTTGGGTGTGGTTTGGGGGGGTTTGGGGTCCCTGGCAGCTGTCCCCTGTCCCCAGGCCAGCATGATCCCGGGGCTGGGCCCGGTGCTGCAGGCGCTGCTGGGGACTCTGCTCACCTGGGCGCTGACGGCGGCCGGATCAGCGCTGGTGTTCGTGTTCTCCAGCGGGCAGGTGAGCCCTGGCATCCCCCAGGATCCCCACCCTGGGACAGCCCCTGAGCCCCTGAGCCCCAGGATCCCACAGGATCCCAATCCAAGGGCAGGTGAGCCCTTGGGAGCAGCCCCTGAGCTCTGGCATCCCACAGGATCCCCACCCTGGGACAGCCCCTGAGCCCCTGGGGCAGCTCCTGGGCCCTGGCATCCCACAGATCTCACAGGATCCCCACCCTGGGACAGTCCCAGAGCACCTGGAATCAACCCCTGGGCCCTGAGATCCCATAGGATCCCAATCCAAGGGCAAATGAGCCCCTGGGGCAGCCCCTGAGCTCTGGCATCCCACAGATCCCACAGCCCCTGTGCCTCAGGATCCCACAGGATTCCAATCCAAGGGCAGGTGAGCCCTTAGGAACAACCCCTGAGCACTGGCATCTCACAGATCCCACAAGATCTCAACCCTGGGCCCTGGGATCCCACAGGATCCTGACCCTAGGGCATCCCCAGAACACCTGGAATCAACCCCTGAGCCCTGAGATCCCACATATCCCACAGGATCCCCACCCTGGGGCAGCCCCAGAGCCCCTGGGATCCCACAGGATCCTGATCAAAGGGCAGGTGAGCCCTCTGGGAGCAGCCCCTGAGCCTTGGAATCCTACAAATCTCACAGGATCCTGACCCTAGAGCAGCCCCTGGGGGCAGCCCTTGAGCCCTGGAATCAGCCCCTGAGCCCTGGGATCCCACAGGATCCTGATCCTAGAGTTGATGATACCTCGGGAGCAGTCCCTGAGCCCCAGGATCCCAATCCAAGGGCAGGTGAGCCCTGGCATCCCTCCCCAGCCCTGGCATCCCACAGGATCTGGCCTGTGCCCTGCTCCTGGCTGGGTTTTCCTGTCTGCTCTCATCTCTGAGGGGCAAGAAGAGGAAAAGTCCAGCTCCCAACACACAGGAGGGGAAGGAAATCCAGTTGCTGGGGCTGGGATGTGCTGCTGGGGCTCAGGAGCACGGGCAGGGCTCAGGGCTCTGGGTGTGGGGGGAGCTGCAGCCCCCCTGCCTCTAGCCTGGCTTTGCTGCCACGTTTCCAGGGCAGGATTTGGGTCAGTCCATGCTCAGAACGAGCAAACTGAGGAGCTCAAAGTCATCCTGGATCCAAAATTAGAGACACCCTGGCCAGGGCGCTCCAGATTGCCCAGATGGATTCATTATTTATGCCTCAGTCTTGTGATGCTTTGTTCAGGAGGTGCCTGCTGGGGGAGGCTCCCTTTGCAGGAGCACTCGGGTTCCCTTCCTTGGGGAGGGGTGAAAACCTGCCCTGGGAGGGGCAGGGACACCCCCTGGCCCAGGGTGCCCAAACCCCAGTGCCCAGCCTGGCCTTGGGCACTGCCAGGCTGCTCTGGGATGCCATCCCAGGGCACATTCCTGCCCAGAGCCCCATCCCCTGGCAGTGGGAGCCATTCCCTGGTGTGCAGAGCCCTCTCCCAGCTGCCCAGCCCCGGGGCAGTGCTCTCACACTCACTTCGGGGTGGTTTGTGTCTGGTTTTGTTTTCAGAGGCGGATCCTCGATGGGAGCCTGGGCTTCGCTGCAGGGGTGAGTGCAGCCTCCTCCTCCTCCTCCTCCTCCTCCCCGTGTTCTCTGCAGCCCCTCCCCGCTCGGTTTGGTTGCCCACTCGAGTTGAAATCCCTTGCGTGCCTCCCTGAGGGCAGGGAAGGGCTCAGGCTGCTCCTGGCTGAGCGTGGAGGTGGCACCAGGACGGGCACGAGGCCACCGAGCTGCCCACGCTGCCTTTGGCTCCCTGCACTTCGACTTTCCTCCCTTCCTGGGGGCTCTGGGGTGGGCTGGGGCTGCTGTGCCTGCCTGGCTGTGTGCTTTAAACTCAGGAGGGGAGGGAAGAGAGAGCTGCAGCTCTCCATGGAAGCTGCATGTGAAGTGTGGGGCTCCTGGCAGCTTCTCCTGGAGGAAAACCTGGAACCTGGGGGCTTGGGAGCTGTACAGGGGCTTGGGAATGTGGGGCTGGCACTGCCCAGGTGCTGGGGCAGGCGTGGCCCCACCAGACTCATTAAATCCCCTTTGTTTCCCTCAGTAAAGATCCAGTCCAGCTGCTCAACGCCACCCTGCAGGTGCTGGAGGGCACCTGGGCTGTGCTCTGGAGGGAGGTGCCCCTTCCCACCCCTGTGCTGGGGTCAGCTGGGCTCTGCCAGCTGTGCCTGGCTGTGTCCTGCCAGCCCAGGTGGCACCTGGGCACCGTGCTGGGTGACAGGGGCTGGGTTTGCTCCCTGCAGGGTGGGCATTGTTCCCCTTGGCGGCTCTGGGGGTCCTTGGGCTGACATTTCTGCAGGAATCCCACCAGGACGAGGGGCTGCTGTCCTGGCTGAGGCCACCAGGTCACCCTGGCAGCAGCTCTGAGTCAGCCCTGCCTGGCCTGGGTGTGGCTCAGGGAGCAGAACTCCTGCAAACATTTGCTTTTCCCTCAGCTCTTCCAGCTGGCAGGGCTTGGAGCAGGATGGGGAATTGTCCCTGGGGTGCCTGGAGGGGGCAGGCAGCCCTGGGGACACTGGGGACAGTGGGACAGGCAGCCCTGGGGACACCAGGATCCCCTGAGTTTGGATTTTCCCAAAATGGGAAAGCGTTGCCGTTGCTTGGCCAGCAGCTGGGTCTCCATCTTTTCCCTGCCTCAAAAGGGTTTAACAACACAAGGAACCTTTCCCTGCCCCCCTTTTTCCCTCCCTTTCCCTGCTCCCTCTTTTTCCCTCCCTTTCCCTGCCCCCCCTTTTTTCCTTCCTCCCTTTCCTGCCCCCCTTTTTTCCCTCCCTTTCCTGCCCCCCTTTTTTTCCCTCCCTTTCCTGCCCCCCCTTTTTTCCCTCCCTTTCCTGCCCCCCCTTTAGCCCTTAGGA